GTGTTCTCTCGCTTCTTGCTCTGACCAGGCTGTCACCAGCCAGTCGTCTATGTAAGTAGCGAGACGAATGCCTTTCTCCCTGAGCGGAGTCAGGGCCACTTCTGTACATTTTACAAACATTCGGGGGCTGAGAGACAAGCCAAATGGTAGAACCAGATATTCGCATGCCACGCCAAGGAAAGCAAACCTCAGGAATTTCCTGTGGGGTGGATATATCTTTATGTGAAAATATGCGTCTTTCAGGTCGATTGACGTAAACCAATCGCCCTGGCGCACTAATTTTAGGAGTGTAGAATGAGTGAGCATTCTGAACTTGTACTTCCTTAAGTATTTGTTCAGTGCACGCAGATCTAATATGGGACGAAGAGCTCGAGTCCCTTTCTTTGTGATGAGGAAGTATCTCGAGTAAAATCCGCTGTGGCTCTGCTCGGGTGGGACCACTCTTATCGCCCTTTTGTTCAACAGAGAGGAAATTTCTTCCTGAAGAACATGCTTTAATTCTCCCTGCACCTGAGAATGAATTATCCCTTTGAAATGCGGGGGGGGAAGCGGCAAACTGCAGTCTGTACCCGAATTGTATTGTCCTTAATACCCAGCGGGACTGTGTGGCAGAAATTCAAAAATGGAGGAAGCACTCATTTTAGCCGTAGCACAGCATCCTATTTTATATAATACATCTTTAAAAGATTCTAAAAAATCAAATAAAAAAAGAAGCGGTGTCAATGGAAACAGGAACAGATGGTACATTTGAATGTGGACACATTTTTATAATTTTTTTATTGTTTTTTCTTTTCCTCGCATCTCTTTTGCATCAGTGTCAGAGCCGAGCCAAAAATGCCCTCTGAGACCACCGGCGCGTCCAGGATGGCTTCTTTTTCTCTGTCAGAGAAATTCGCCAAGTTAAGCCAACGTCCTCTCTCTTGAATGACCATTGTGGCCATGGCCTTGCCCGCGGCTTGAACCGCGCACCTCTGAAGACGCAGAGAAAGATCCGTAACGACACAGATCTCTTCCCAGTGCGTCTGACCTGGCATGGTCGACGCTTCGTCCTGCAATTCCGCTTGGTACGCGGTCAGCATAGAGGTCGCGTTCAGAGCCCTGACAGAGAGAGCAACTGCTTTATAAGCGCGTTCCGTCATGCTTGACTGGAAACGGTCCGCTTTGGATGGCAATGTCGGATTTGCAGCCGCCGTGTGCTTTGGGTTTAAGTGCGCGGCAACTAATGGCTCCATGGGGGGCATTCGGAGAAGTCCTACCTTCTCCATTCCCTCCACATCGAGAGCGGATCCTCCCTGCACGGGCATCTTGCTGGTGAACGGTTTGTCCTTCCAGGTCACCGCAACCTCCTCCAGGAGCTCTGGAAACACAGGAAGGAGCTGCCGTGCTGCCCGTTTCGCTCTCGGCAGCCTCTTGCCCTCGTAGCGAGACTTTACAGCCTCTGCTACCACGGTCGGCCACGGAATGTTTAGTTTCTCTGCAGCGCGTTTGCACACATCCTGCAGATCAACACTGAGAAGAGGGGATGGTGCCCCGTCCGCATCTTCCGTGGATCCCGCCGCGGCGAGGGGTTGTGCCGGGAGCGCAGGGGGGAGGAAAGGGGAGTCCTCGAAATCTTCCTCTTCTTCAGAGAGAAGAAAGTCCGATTGTCCCTCTTCCTCGAAATCAAGCGCGTCCTCTTCCTCGTCCGTGCTGAGCACACTGGGCAGAGGGACGCAAACGTCAAGCTGTTCACCCCAGGATAAAGCTGCCGTGGTGGGCAGCTCTACAGGGATGGGTACCTGCGGAGTGGCAGCTGGAACGGGGCTAGGTGACATGAGGGGATCGTGGCCTGACAGGCTAGCTTGGCGTGCTAGCCTGCGACGAAGGCTCTTCATAGTGAAGCGTGCGCAGTGTTCACAGGAACCGGGGTTCTCGATCGCCAATTGGGCATGTTTCAGCCCAAGACATGCAGAGCAGACCTGGTGTGTGTCCTTGCATGAAATTTTGTTCCCACATTAACAAAGTCGCACAGCATCTCCCTCACCAGCCGGGACAGTCTGCATTGCTGCAGCCATCGTAATATCGAACAGTCCTTGCAATCGGCTGGAATGCAAATTGAAGGAGTCAGGCGAAAAACGGCGTGGAGGCCAGTTGTTCGTCCAGGAGGTCGTTAAAAGTATACCTAATTTGTAGGCTTCTAGTGTGAAGCGAGAAGAGGTTTTTGAATGTCGTGGTGACGTTGTGTTGTGCCCTTTATACTGAGGGGTGGGGAGGCCACTCCCAGACACAACGTCACGTCTGCCAGCCAATTGGGGCTGGCGTAATGTAATAGGGCTTCTAGGAATACGCGGAAGGGGCGTATCCCATAGTGAGACACCGAAACGTATGCTTGAAAGAGAACCAATGCTGCCACTCAGTGTTTTTACCGTGCAAAGGGGAGTCCTCGAAATCTTCCTCTTCTTCAGAGAGAAGAAAGTCAGATTGTCCCTCTTTCTCGAAATCAAGCGCGTCCTCTTTCTCGTCCGTGCTGAGCACACTGGGCAGAGGGACGCAAACGTCAAGCTGTTCACCCCAGGAGAGAGCTGCCGTGGTGGGCAGCTCTACAGGGATGGGTACCTGCGGAGTGGCAGCTGGAACGGGGCTAGGTGACATGAGGGGATCGTGGCCTGACAGGCTAGCTTGGCGTGCTAGCCTGCGACGAAGGTTCTTCATAGTGAAGCGTGCGCAGTGTTCACAGGAACCGGGACACACCTGGTGTGTGTTCTTGCATGAAATTTTGTTCCCGCATAAACAAAGTCGCACAGCATCTCCCTCACTAGCCGGGACAGTCTGCATTGCTGCAGCCATCGTAATATCGAACAGTCCTTGCAATCGGCTGGAATGCAAATTGAAGGAGTCAGGCGAAAAATGGCGTGGAGGACAGTTGTTCGTCCAGGAGTTCGTTAAAAGTATACCTAATATGTAGGCTTCTGGTGTGAAGCGAGAAGAGGTTTTTGAATGTCGTGGTGACGTTGTGTTGTGCCCTTTATACTGAGGGGTGGGGAGGCCACTCCCAGACACAACGTCACGTCTGCCAGCCAACTGGGGCTGGCGTAATGTAATAGGGCTTCTAGGAATACGCGGAAGGGGCGTATCCCATAGTGAGACACCAAAACGTATGCTTGAAAGAAAAGCTTTGTTTCTGAACGAATCAGTCGTTTGAATGAATCGGCTGAATCTCAATGACTCACTCATTAACAGTCACTTGCTGTCACTTACTGGCGGTTTTAATTTCACATTGACTATTTTTTGCATGTTTTAAATTATTTCAAATATCAGTATTCAAAGTTTTATGTTAAAAACAAAACATTATTTATGCATTTGTAACTCGTTAAATGCATCCATGTCCCCTCTGAGATACATTAAACTGTGTAAATACACCTAAATGCCAATTCAGATGTAGATTCCAGAAATGTTTTCTTGTGTTGGAATGAAAGACACTAAGTACCGGATGAAGAGCTTCTTATTCTTACCCAAAAATACAAAATGGAAGAAAGAGCTAAAACTGAACACAATCTTGCTACTCAAGCTGTGTATGAACATTTTTTATATATATTCTTCTATATATACTCTTCTTTTCCATTTTGAATTTACTTGTACTTTTACTTTCAATACTCAAGTACGTTTAAGATTTAAAAAATACTTTTCGTACTTAAGTACAATAAATATCACATACTTTAAGACTTTTACTCAAGTAATATTCTAAACGGTGACTTCAAATTCTACCAAAGTGATTTTCTGGTAAGATATCTGTACTTTTACTTGAGTATGGCTTTCAGGTACTTTATACACCACTGCTCCCAGATAATCAAAAATGGGCAAAGAGGCGGGAGCTGTTTGCTGAAACCACGCCCACCTAGCTCGACAGTTGTGACAGCAGCGGCAATCCACCTGTCACTCAAGTGGCCACGCCCTATAAAATATCCAAAAACCACTAGAACAGTGTTACATATTTTGCTGACTTGTATACTTACATTATCCCAAATGTTTCGAAGAATGTTTAAATCCAGAGAAATAATAATATGTTGTGCATTTTAATAGACCGGTGACGACCGCACAGAGTAGCATTATAACAGAACTGATGAATTGCAGTTTTAGTCACTTCCATGTTGGTTTCATGAGAGAGACCGGAAGGTTGCCGCTTGGTATACACACTATACTCAGTCACGCAATGCTGATGTTGTTAAAATTAACAATTTGAGAATAAAGTATAACAATAATAATAATTTGCACGGTTTGATGTGATATGAGCTAATTTCGATTAAATCACCTTTGGTAGCGCAAGTTATTGTAATGCTTTTTTCCTCAGTTGGTCAGAACAAACGTAGCAGACTTGTTACTTGTTTAGATGACGATATGGTGAAAATGCTTATTTGAGTCATATTCCAAGATGAAGGCTAGAATCTGTGAGTGCAAAGTACAATATCCACACCAGTGCGGTGACTGAGTGCCACACATACTCCTCAAAACATTAGATTCATCCACGCTGGAGCCGTGCGCCTCACAACCCACGCAACGAAGATAATTCCGCACACAGCTGCAATTGCAGGTTTTCAAACAGAGATGGCGACAAAGAGGCAAAACTTACGGACTGCAGCTTTAAATAAAAAAACTCATAACAGTACATGGTTACAAAATATTTAGAATTAGCTTTCTATTGAAGGAATCCATATATTGGTGAGGAACTTTTTCAAAAACATTTTTAAAAAATCTTAGAAAACTAAATTTTGTATGGCAGCATATGAATAGATAAGCCACATTCAAAAGTGACCACACAGTTAAATCCTATATTAATGTGGCAAGCAACATTGTTTGGCAATCATAAACATGATCAAAACATCAAAACTCAATCGCTACCATTATAAATCAACAAAGTGTCTATAATAGAAGCACCTGTCTGCAATACAGCCTGTAAACTACACTACAATTATAGGCTTCACATGTAATTTCTATCTTTATTTGATTACATTTCGCTCTTTTACCCGTAGGCTCTGTTCCCGGGCCTCCTCTCCAACAGCAGAACTCTCATTCTGCTTGGCTGTCTCCTCTTCCTCCGCCAACTGTCTCCTCCTCTTCTCCCTGCGTTCCTCCAGCTCCTCATCACGCAAACTCTCCAAGTGCTGCAGTATGGGGACCTTCACCACTGAGAAACCAGGCACAAGACTTTAGACAAAGACTTTAGACTTTAGTTTTGCCATTAGAAAAAACTCCTTTATCAGTTCTTCCTGCAGTGTATAAACAACAGATGCTATAATATATTCATTTTGAGATGGTCTCACCTGCCACACAGTCATGCATGCTCTCGGCATCCAGGACTTTACACTCATCCGTCCATCTGGTTAAGGCAGTCGGGATGCTTGAAAGGGTGCCTGTAGAACAGAAGGGTTTAGCAAATGCATCTGTAACCATTAATTTTAAAGCAGCTTGTCTGTGGGAGACTCACCAGCTTGTCCTCCAGTGCTACTCTGCTCATGGAAGAAGTCATCCAGTAGCTCATCATCCGAACGGGCAATAATATGCACATCCTCGTTACCCACCAGTAAACGTGCACGACCGCGAGACTGCAGAGGCAGAGAGCTTGACAACTGCAAGATATCAGCTGCAGCACTGGGGCCCAATAATCTGACACACACAAAAAAAACAACGACACACACAAAAAAAGGAATTTGAAGCTGCAGTGGCACCAAACAGAATTGTAAATGAGTCTCATTTATGATCTTTGCCATGTTGGAACAACAGGAAACCAAGACAAGCAATGAAAGCTATGATTTTTAAGGGGGGAAAAAAAGAACAATCAAATTTCTGCACCATTGTAAAGCTTGTAATTTCATTTCTTAATTAAACTGAAAGGCAAATAAGTTGATTAAATGACTCACCTCTGCAAGATGAGAGGAGGGTTGGGTTGACGGTTACCAGGGTAATGTACATGGACTGTGTGGCCTGTGTTGGCCGTGAGCTGGCGGAGAGATCGTTGGCTGCGTCCCATGCCCTGAGCCAATCTGCTGCTGGTGCCTGATCCCCCCAGAGTCAGTGAGCCATGGTCAGCATGACGCACCATCAGAGGGTGGGAGCTGGGGATATTTCCTGGTGAGGGAGGGATGTCAGCTGAAGTGTACAAAAGACAGAAAGAGTAGACGTGACACATTTCGTCAAAAAATTATAAGAAGAACATCTTATGGCTGTTTAACTCAAACTACGTTGACTTATTAAAAAATAGGGAATAAATGTATAGTAGCTAATTTCTTACCAGACGTGGAGAACATGTTATCAAACTCAATGATGAGGTCATCGTCTCGGTCAAATCTCTCAAAACGAATGTGTGGAGCAGCATTGATATCAGGAAAATCTTCATCCAGTTCCATTTCTGAGCCTTCGTCATCGTCATCGTCATCTCCCTCCTCATCATCCTGAGAACACATAACACAATGAGAAAAGAATGGAAAAAAGTAGATATCACTCTTTTCTACGGTGGTTTATGACTTTGCTTAAATAACTATTACTTGATCCTCCTCCTCTTCTTCCTCCTCCTCTTCCTCCTCATCTTGACTATCCTCATCCTCGTTGCTACCACTGGAGTCTTCCTCCTGTGTGTGCTCCTCATCTTCTGGCTCAAGGATGTTCATAGAGTCTAAATCAGTAAAGAAAACAAAATGACTGCAGGATCTTCCCCAAGACAGTTTTGAAGAGTATAAAGAAACTGGGAACAAAGTCTATTAAATAAATGTCAGGGTTTTAAAATAATACTAATAGAAAAAAATGTAGATAAGTGCTTTACGTTCCAGATGGAGTCACTAAAATTCAGAGGGTGGGCACCCTTTCTAGCAGACCCAATGAGTAGCTATACCGTTTATGGGTCATTGTCATCATAAGTGCCAAGAGTTAATATGCAAGAGAGATTTATGTCCTACCCTCTCTGTTAGCTTGGAGAGTGGAGGCCTGACTCATATTGGAAGGAGCTTCATCCATCAGCACGTCCTCTTGAGACTCATCCTCTCCAGAGCGACCCACTAATTAACAGTAAAATCAAATTAAAAACACGCATCCAACTCTGTATCACTTCCATATTTGGCCAGGAATCAAATAAATCACTTACCGATGATGGTGCTATTAACGGTTCCTGCATCTCTTTCTAAAAGTTCATCGATCAAATCCACCAACTCATTCTCCACCTAAAAGAATATATGAACAACAAACATTGTTCAGCTGGAGAAGGATTTTCATATTCATCAATAGAGAACAGATCCACAAACTGCTGTGCTTCTAACCTGCATGGCCTGAGTGCTCAGCACCTCAGGCTGTCCAGCAATGACCACGGTGTCTCCCTCGGTTTCTCCATCCATCAGGTCGGCATCTGTGGCTTGACCACGGTCACGATTCTCTGCTGGCTCTGCCTCACCTGCCTCCCCTGTACACAATATCAGCCATAAAACACACATAACTCAGCAAAGACACTGTATCCATACTCTGCTGAGATTGTGATCAATGATATGAGTATTACCTTGATCTTGGGTGTTGCTGTTGCTGTCCCTGACTGTGCCAACAGTGTCATGCTCCGTCTTATTCTTGCTGGATCCCCCTTTGCCCCCAAACAGGCTGCTAGGCTGGTTCACAATTCGTGACAACGTCTCCAAAGGCTTCAGAGCAGCATTTACTGTGTTTGCCATATTAGGACTGCAAGAAACCAAGAACAGCAATGAAAAGAAAAAATAAATAAATAAAATGAATAAAAATTAACTTTTGCCCAAAATTATATTAATGGGCAATTAACCAAGGTTGGGATAAAAGATTAAAAAATAAAATAAAATTGTGATACCTGGATAGATCAAGGCTATGAGGCACACGTGCAAGGTCATTGACAAGGCCTTTCTTCAGAAAGAGTCGGATGATATTGTTCATGCCGTTGTGCTGGGTCTTGGCTGTGGCTGTGCTGTAGAAGCTTGAGGTGGAGGGACATGACTCCATAATGGTGCTGATGATACACATCACTGCTTGCAAGCTATAAAGAGAGAAAAGTTCAAGTTTAGTCAAGTTTTACGGATCTAAGTACGTTCTAGGTATCTTAATTATTTAAAAGTCAATTTTAGTACAGCGACTAGGCAGCTCGACTCACCGGGCGTGCTTCTCTGTGCCTTCTGCCATGCCCAATGCTCGACTCAAAGCAGCCTTGACCTCGTTGACCAGGGCCGCCTGGGCATCAGTGCCTGTTCCAGCTGCAGCGAGGCTGGCCAGGAAAAGGCGCGCAAGGGCAGGGGTGTCCTTATCCTCTGAGTTCTGGGTGTGTGGGAGCAAGTGGTCCAACACAAATGCCAGCACACTGCAATCCTGTACATATATAGGTTCACAACTGTTACACATGACGAATGAGGTTTGATAAGTTGAAGAAAAAAAAAAAAACACTTTACAAATACACTGAAATAAATGTCCAGGCAATGTGTTCTAACTCAATATTGCATAAACAGACTCCGTTCTCTAAAAACAGTATGATGTGAAAAGTGAAACATTTGGCCTGAAACTGGTTGTACATCAAACTGATGTGACTCACCTCCTTAATGAGCTCTGACTGGCCAGCTGTGTAGTTGTAAGAGGTGATGAGAGTGGCGATGCCAACATAGGAGCGAACCAGCTCTGCAAGCAGCCTCAGGATGGTAGAAGTAGGCATCAGCAGTTTGCTGGCCTTAGCTTTGGCAGCTCGGCTCTCCTCCGAGGAAGCTCCCTTCTCTCCCTCCTGCTCCTTTTTCTCTTCACGCATTTCCTCAGGCGTAGAGGCTAGAGACAGAAAAAGCAATGACAGGGAAAAATTTCAAGGTCAAGTCAAGAAGCCAGCACAAGTGAGAAAAATAATGACATTGTATAAACAAAGGTTTTGAGCTCTATGTGCATGTATAGAGGTTCACACCTTCTCCCTGCGGAGTTCCAGATTGGGAGGATTCTGCAACAGCACCATCTGCAGCAAACACCTGAGTCTGAGAGAGTATAATTAACACCCACTATTAATGCAAATCCCACATTTCTGAGCCCATTATAGTACACATACACTTGGGGCTAATTGTGTTTTTCACAGAGCAGCTAGTTGAACTAGATTTGAACATTTTGTGAAGAGAACGTGAGCAGTGCTTTTCCATGGAAAAAACTCATGCCATGGCACAGGAGCAGGCCTGACAACTTTGACTGTTTACTAAACAGATTTTAAAGGAGTTCTACAGCATTGCTAGGGTGTACTGGGTAATGCTATCAAAGACTACAGAATACCCAAGACGTGTCACTCATATAGTTTTGAATGGTGAAAAATGCAACGTTCAATATGGCCACTCTATCGAAGGAAGCCCTGCCTTCTGAATAAAAGAGCCCATCACTAATCGGTAAAGTCATCGCATCACTGCAGATGACGCTAGAAGTCCCAGTTGCTATAGAAACAATCAGAGTTCTGAGATGTGCGCGTGGGACTGCGCATGCGCACTGGCTGGTCTAGCTTGAAAAAGACGCTTTTTTTTTGACGCAAAAGAAACGACATTTATGAGAGAGTTGTGATTATGATTTCATTGGTGATTTCAAATATGAAATTTAATCGTAAACTTGCCTGGGAGGCGTTTCAAAGATGGCCACCGAGTGAAATGACTTGTCTTAAAGGGATTTTGATGCTATGTAGTGGATAAGGCCTTTTTTTTTGGCTACGTTTTTTTTCCTAAGTCTAGCAATTCCTCATCATGTTTCAATGTACAATGTTTTCCACTAGTCCACCAGAAAGAACATGTCTAATTGTTCCGAAAAGTAAAAATATATTTTTAGCAACAACCCACACATTTTGATGTCATTAATATAGCAGAGTTCCAACATTTTCAATTTTCATCTGACAAATGGCTTTAATATCCAACTGGTAACGTTACATTCTGACTAGGTTGTCAAATAAATGCCAGAATACTGCTGACAGGCATGCGCGTTACTTTTATCTGTTGCTGCTTTAAAGGGGGTCATATGATGCTGCTAAAAAGAACATTATTTTGTGTATTTGGTGTAATGAAATGTGTTTATGCGGTTTAAGGTTAAAAAAACACATTAGCACCGCAGCCTTGAGTGAGTGGCGGCCTAGAGTATGCAGAGGCCGGCGGGCTTGAGAACGGCACGGCCGGCAGATTCGACGAAGAAGCGTCCGGGGGGCTTGCGGCAACCACATGTGACGACCCTGGGCTGGACTCTGCTTCGTCCACGGTGAAAGCCGA